GTCTTCTAGCTCGTCGCCCGCGCCCTGGGCCCTCCGGTTGGCGTCGGGAGGCCTGAGAGCGCCTTTAATCCAACCCCTGCACCGGCTGAAGCCCTTGTGGCCCGACCTACCGCCGCCCCCTTTTTAAAAATATGTTTTTATCGATTTCAGAGCGAGGGAGGGAGGGGGAGATGGAAACATCAATGATGAGAGTCATTGATCGGCTGCCTCCTGCACGCCCCCCGCTAGGGATCGAGGAGCCTGCACCCGGGGCCTGTGCCCTGACCGGACTCGAACCCCGATCCCCTGGATCCTCGGTAGATGCTCAACCGCTGAGCCACCCGGCCGGGCACCATTCACCCTCCACTCTCTTGCCTCCTGTGACAGTCGCCTGTGGTCCTTACCTGTCTGTGTCCTATCAGTGCGTGTTCTCCTGCCCCTTCTTTTCTTTTTCCTGTGCTCTCCGGGACTCTGCCCTTGGTACTCTTCTCACCCTGTTGCCCAGGAATCTCATTCCTTCCCACAGCGTTAACCGCCAACAAAACCTGCCGCGTCTCCCAAGTTCATCTCCAACCCTGTTCTGAGTCCTAAGTAACTCTGGCTGACTCCCCAAGTGCACGTGCGTACTCGCGCTGACTTGAACTCAGTGCATCTCCTCGCCCACCCTCCCTTCTGCACTTCCCACGGCACCAAACCTGCGCTGTCACCTGGCCAGAAGCCTGGGGGTCATACTTTATTCCCCCCCTCTCCTCCCAGCATCTAGTCAGTGACTAATTCCGCCTGAAATCCTTTCGAGGGGCTTCTCACAGTCCCTGCCTCAGGTTAAGCCCTCAGGGTGTCGCCTGCATGATTGCAGTCACCTACCTTCTGTCTGACCTCACTAGTCTGTTTCTACCATTAGAGAAGTGATCCTTCTAAATAGTAAATTTGCCCTTGAGAGTTCCCTGCTTAAACCACCCGATTCCCCACTGCTTACCAGAACAGCGCAAAGTTGTCTGGAATACAAAGGGCTTCACAACTGGGCCAGTCCACTCTTCCAAGTTCCTTCCTTCAGAGCCACTTCTCCCTGTCTTTACATCACCTGTTTCTGCCTCTAGACTAGAGCTCCTGGGGGCAGGGTCACGATGTATTAATAGTTTATCTTCCTATCCCATGGTCCTAGTTAGCACAATACCTGTATTAATCAAGAAATACTCAATTGAATGTCTAGAATACTAAGATTGTTTACTTCTTGGTTTTTCACTGGTAAAAGTGTGTGTTTTTTTTAAATTCTAATAGGAACTACAGAATTAAAAAGAACTACAGAATTTCACAATGACTGACACTCCAGAAGCTGCTCCAAATTTTGAAGAGATGTTTGCCAGTAGATTCACGGAAGACGACCAAGAGTACCAGGAGTACCTGAAACGCCCTCCTGCGTCCCCGCCGATTGTCGAGGAATGGAACAGCAGGGCTGGCGGGAGCCACAGAAACAGAGGCAACTGGTATGTATTACTTCAGAATGAACTGCAGGTGGCTGACCCGGGAGAGCTTTAATCGGCCAGCCCAGACCACTGAGGGCAGGGACCAAGGCGGTTGTTCAGTATGGTTTACCTAGTGCCTGGCACAAAGAAAGTGGCTGGTAAATATGTGCCTTACTATTTTGTCAGCCTGTGTCCTTTTTCCCTAAGTGTTCAATTGTGTGCGTGTGTGTTTTTTGGTTTTTTTTAAAGTTCTGTGGAATAATATTTTATTTGCAAATATACTTTAAAAACCTAGAGTCTTCTACAAAACTTTGTAAAAAATTCCATTAAGAAGGTAATGTTTTTGGTTTCACTTCACAAAGTTTATACAGTGGAAGTTACTTCTATTTACTAACTCAAAACAGATAAAAGGAATTAAATTACCATAGTTTTGTTTTTGTTTTTTTTAACTGAATAGTTTTTAGCTTGATTCAGAACTACCCTATTGTTCGGGTTTGGGGTTGTAGCCTGCCTATTTCTCTGCAAAGCATATCCAATGTAACTGGAAGAATGATTTAAATCTTAAGAATGTTTTGAATAACTGGTTAGGTATTTGACTGAGAAGTCAAATGCAACAGGACAGATTTGCCCTATTTTCTTAAGCATAAAAATTTTGTTCTGTTGTTGCAGGCTGCAAGATAACAGACAGTTTAGAGGCAGGGATAGCAGACGGGGGTGGCCAAGTGACAATCGATCCAACCAGTGGCATGGACGACCCTGGGGTAACAGTTACCAGCAGCACAGACAAGAACCTTACCACCATCACCAGTATGGAAACTACGGTTACAACCAACGGCCTCCCTATGGCTACTACTGACAGAAATGTCAGCGCTTGTAGTAAAACCGTTTACTTTGTTAATAAGACAAAAATTTGTGTGTATCTTCTGTTGGTCATGATTTTACATTTGATGTTATAAAATAGATTTTTTTTGGAACTTGAGGCATTTTAAAAAAAAAATCTTACTGGAGAGATGTGATGGTTGCTGGGAATAAAGACGTCCCTAAAAAGGTGGTGGGTTACACCGCTGGGCTTCTACCTCAGACTCTTCGTTTCATGACTCGGTAGTGCTGTGAACTTCGTGTATCTTTTCCTTGTCTGACCTCCAGGAGCTCTGTCTTTGTTTTACACAGAAATAAAACAGAAAATTTAAAATAGAAAATGCTTGCTTTTACTCTGTAATAGAAGGAAGTACCCATATACTGGGATGTGCTCATCCCTAAAATTTGACAGAAGCTGGTAAACTGGTGAATGCACAACTCTTTAGCTGTAATGTATTGTACATGTTGTAACGTACTGAACATTAACATCGGCAGTTGGAAGGTAAAGCAATTGTATTTATGTTTCTTTCTTGGCTCTTATGTGGCTGTGGTACTTTGTAATTACACTATAGATATAAGTCAGCTTCACAATCACTGTGGTCTTTTTAGAGGAATATCAATAAAACCGTTAAAAGAAGAAGGAACTGTACTCAGTTTTGGTGTCTTCATCTAACGGTGGGTGGGATTAGGGCGCACAATCATTTCATACGAACTCTAAGTTAAACACAGTAGGTGACGCCCCCCCCTTCCTTTTCAGGCACATGTAATTAAGGCTGTGCTGACTCCTTCCTTTTATGGTACGTCACATGGGTTGATTTTACAATGTTACATTCACTTCCAAACGTGCTCCTCTGCAGCACTCGCCTATAAATACCGTGATGCTGTAACTTCCTTTCAGAGTGATCATTATATTTCAAATAATTTTAAGGGCCATGGCAATGGTTTTATTTAAATAAAATGCTTACAATATTAATCAACCTCTCAAGTTTTGGCAGTGAGCCTAGTCATTCAGGTGGTGAGATGAGCTTTTTGCCTTTTTATTCCTGTCCTCCATACCCATTGGAAAAGGTTTATTCGGTTTAGAAATAATATTCAGAGTACAAGTTTCATCAAAGGAATTAAAAGGCAACTTCCTAAATCTGCCTTCTGCCGCCTTCCCTCATGCTCCACTCTAGGCCCGAGGCTGACTTCTCCAGGTACGGCCTCTCCACGCTCCGGATCCAACTCGCCCCTCCTCTCCCCCCTTCCTGAAGAGCCATCCTTTCAGGTAACAAAAAATAAAGGCCCTAATAAACCAAGTATCACACTCGGTGAACTCACACTCAGCAACCAGCCAGTGCTGTTCCATGAAAATAGGTCTTGACACTACAGATATTTAGCCTAGAGAGTTAACAGCATTGGTAACTCAGTCCTCACTCATACTTTGACTCGATCTAAATTTGACATAAACATGTTCCCTTTTTTTACTAAAGTAAGGTTGCACTACATATAAAAATACACACACATATACCTATATTATTCTTTGTTTACACAACAGAACAGACATCAGCCCAGGTCAGCAGTTATAGAATAACTAGTGATTAATTTTAATAACATTCTATAGTATGGACTTGCCACTGACAATATGATCATTCTATAGGTAGACACTTAGGTTGTTTCCCCTTTTTTGCCCCTACTAACAATAGGGGCTGCATTGCTTCTGTCCATATATCCTTTGGTGCTTTTCTGTTCTCTGGGGTAGTTTCAAAAGTAGAATTGTTGGGTTAAAAGGACTGGTATTTTTAATACATGCTGCCTCATTTTATAAAACACTGTAGCAATTCAGTCCTATCAGGAACACATACATACGCATAGACCTGTCTCTCCTCTCCCTCCCTAGGACTCTGCTTTAGCATTATGGTGCCACCTATTGGATGTAAGTTGAAAATGTAGGTTCTTAAATTTTTAGTGGCTAGGCACATGTATATAAAAGAAACTCTGAACTGGGGTCATGGTGGGTCCCAAAATTTATATTCTGCATTACAGTTCAAGGAACTACTTAACCAAAATCCCTAGAATTTGTAAGAGGGGGGATGATGGGAGCCCACAGCACAGAAAACGACTGCCTCCTAAAGTTTGTTGAGTTTTTAGCTGTTGCAAATTTTGAACACTGCAAAGGTGCCACCTACATGCTCTGGTCTCTCTCCAGCCCCTAGCAGGCAAAGGAGGAAAGGCCCACAGGAGTCAGAAGTCCAGGTTTTCTACCCTTGACTCCAGGGGCAGGATGAACCAAGTTTTGCTTTCTCAGGTTCTGTCAATGTATGTATGGTGTGGGAAAAACAATGTACGTACCTTAATTAAAAAGTACTTTCTTGCTAAAAAAAAAAAAAAAATGCTAATGATCATCTGAGTCTTCAGGGAGTCGTAATCGCTTTGCTGGCGGAGAGTCTTGCTTCAGTGTTAGTAGCTGCTGACTGACTGGGGTGGTGGCTGCTGAGGGCTGGGGTGGCTGGGGGAATTTCTTAAAATAAGACAATGCAGGTTGCCTCACTGACTGACCCTTCCTTTCACGGATGATCTTTCTGTAGCATGCAACGCTGTTGGATAGCATTTTACCCACAGTGTAACTCCTTTCAAAATTGGAGTCAATCCTCTCAAACCCTAATGCTGCCTCATCAACTAAGCTTATATAATATTCTAAATCCCTTGTCGCCATTTCAACAAGCTTTACGTCATCGTCACCAGGAGATTCCATCTCAAGAAACCACTTTCTTTGCTCATCCATAAGCAGCAGCTCCTCATCTGTTAAAGATTTATCATGAGACTGCAGCAATTCAGCCACATCTTCAGGCCCCACTTCTAACTCTAGTTCTCTTGCTATCTCCACCACATCTGCAGTCACTTCCTCCAATGAGGTCGTGAACCCCTCAAAGTCATCCATGAGGGCGGGAATCAACTTCTTCCAAACTCCTGTTATCGTCGATATGTTGACCTCGTCCCACGAATCACGAATGTTCTTAATGGCATCTAGAATAGTGAATCCTTTCCAGAAGGTTTTCAACTTACTTTGCCCAGATCTATCAGAGGGGTCGTTATCCACGGCAGCTAGAGCCTTACGAAACATATTTCTTAAATAATAAGACTTGAAAGTTGAAATTACCCCTTGACCCATGGGCTGCAGAATGGATGCTGTGTTAGCAGGCATGAAGATAACTTTGATCTCATCATACATCTCCTTCAGAGCTCTTGGGTGAACAGGTGTACTGTCAATGAGCAGTAATATTTTGAAAGGAATCTTTTTCTCTGAGCAGTAGGTCTCAACAGTGGGCTTAAAATATTCAGTAAACCATGTTGTAAACAGGTGAGCTGTCATCCAGGCTTTGCTGTTCCATTTATAGAGCACCGGCAGAGTAGATTTAGCATAATTCTTAAGGGCTGTAGGATTTTCAGAATAATAAATAAGCATTGGCTTCAACTTAAAGTCACCAGCTGCATTAGCACCTAGCAAGAGAGTCAGCCTGTCCTTGGAAGCTCTGAAGCCAGGTGTTGCCTTCTCCTCTCTGGCTATGAAAGTTCTAGACGGCATCTTCTTCCAATATAAGGCTGTCTCATCTACATTGAAAATCTGTTGTTTTGTGTAGCCACCCTCCTTAATTATCTCGGCTAGGTCTTCTGGGTAACTTGCAGCTTCTCCATCAGCACTTGCTGCTTCACCCTGCACTTTTATGTTAGAGAGACGACATCTTTCTTTAAACCTCATGAACCAACCTCTACTAGCCTCAAACTTTTCTTCTGCAGCTTCCTCACCTCGCTCAGCCTTTATAGAATTGAAGAGAGTTAGGGCCTTGGCCTGGATTAGGCTCTGGCTTACGGGAATATTGTGGCTGGTTTGATCTTTTATCCAGACCACTAAGACTTTCTCCATATCAGCAATCAGGCTGTTTTGCTTTCTTATCACTCGTGTATTCATTGGAGTAGCACTTTTAATCTCCTTCAAGAACTTTTCCTTTGCATTCACAACTTGGCTAACTGTTTGTCGCAAAAGGCCAAGCTTTCGGCCTATCTCGGCTTTCGACATGCCTTCCTCACTAAGCTTAATCATTTCTAGCTTTTGGTTTAAAGTGAGAGATGTGCGACTCTTCCGTTCACTTGAACACGTAAAGGCCATTGTGGGGTTATTAACTGGCCTAATTTCACTATTGTTGTATCTCGGAATAGGGAGGCCTAAGGAAAGGGAGAGAGACCTGGGGAGCCGCTGGTGGGTAGAGCAGTCAGAACACACACACTTATGGGTCAAGTTCACCGTCTTACATGGGTGTGGTTTGTGGTGCTACAAAACAATTACAATAGTAATGTCAAAGATCCCTGTTCACAGACCACCACAATAATGAAAAAGTTTGAAATATTGCGTGAATTACCAAAATATGTCACAAAGACACAAAGTGAGGGAACGCTGTTAGAAAAATAGCACTGATAAGACTTGCTGAATACGGGGTGGCCACAAACCTTCAAGTTGTTTGGAAAAAACGCACCCCTCTGTACCTGCGAAGTGAGGCAAAGCGAGGTGTGCCTGTCCGAGTCTTGATTATTCTTAGTTGTTCACGAAACGCTCAAGGGTTTCAAAGAGACGCAGAAAACATTTTTGCATATAGATAAGCATCTTACAATATAAAGACTGCAAGAACAGTGGCGAGTCTTCCTGTCACTTGTAAACTGGCTTAGAAGGCAATTTCGTAAGTGCTGTGAATACAGTCGGGATAAACTGCATTCGAGTGGCAATCAGGGCATCTGTGCACCAGCTGTCACCCAGCACAGTTTGATCCTGAGTGTCTCTCAACTTCCAGACATCAGAAGCACCAATGTAAAATGAAAGGGGCTGGACCAGGTCCTCTTGAACGGCCTCCCCAGCTGTTATTCCGTAACGCCACTGAAATCACAGTAACGTGTTCCAAGCGATTTGGGGTCCAGGATTTTAGAACCTATATCCAATGTACAGTACCTTTAAATTTCCTACTTCTCTTTTTGAGAACTGCTCTTATTCAAATACTTTTTTTTTTTTTTTTACATGTTCTTCTGTGCATTTAACTGTATTTTCCTATTTAGCAGCCTCTTCATCATTAGCAATAAAAAAGTTTCTCAAGGATGTCTTTTTTTCATTTCTTACTTTTATTTTTTTTCAACTTCTTTCTCCAGTTTCTCCAAGATCTCTTCTGGAGTTGTGGAGGCCAAGAGCTTCACCACTTTCTCACGAGACTTACCACCCTGGATTAAAAGGAAAAGGCAGTGTGAGAACAACACGCTAAGCTTTCTAACACCATTAGAAACAGGACTCAGTTGTCTGCATTGCAGACATGTCCTGGTGGGGCTCCCACAGGTGGCCTGCAGCTTTCCTGACAGCTTAGCTACCACTTTCTCCCAGCCACTGTGATCTAACCAAAGACTACCTCTCAGATTCTACCTTACTACACATTTTACAACTCTCCAGGGTTTTTAATTACTTGGAAAAGGGGGGGGGGGGGCAGTATTTTAAAAATAACTGAAGTGTAATAATCAAAACTACTGAGCCATGGCTCAGTTGGTTGGAGAGTCGTCCTGGGCACCAAGAGGATGTGGGTTCTACTCCCGGTCAGGGCATGTACCTACGTTGCTGGTTCAATCCCCGGTTGAGCGCGTATGGGAGGCAACCAATCGATGTTTCTCTATCACATCAATGTTTCTCTCTCTCTCCCCCTTCCTCTCTCTCTAAAAAAAAAAAAAAAAAATCAACAATAAAACATATTCTCGGGTGAGGACTGAAAAAAAGATGTTGAGAGAGAGAGAGAGAGAGAAACAGACCTACCTTATCTAAAACCACATCACTCTTCCTGAGTTCTAAAACCTTGGAGAGATAGCGACAGAGCTCAGCATTAGCCTCCCCTTCGGATGGAGGCGTGGCAACAGCTACACTTACAGCTTCAGCTGTCAAATCTGGAATGAACACAGTGGGGACTTGATCCTCAAGTTCTTCAGGAAGGGAGGATATTTTGTAAAAGAGTTTGCACTGGCACACAGCAGGTTTTCAACTAATAACTGTTAGAGGCAGACATGAAGGATTAAACTAATCAGACCTGAGGGGAACATAAGCATGACACATATGCCTCCACCATTACAGAAAACAAACTCAGAAAAGATCAGTATTTACCCCCATCCCACTGACCAAGATGACCTAAAGAATCCTGGGCAGTACCCTGGATTCAGGAAACTGGAAAGTGCACTTATCTGATAGGAAGCACTCCAGATCGGGAGACGGGAGCTGGGGGGTAGCCCCAGCAATGTCACTGCAGGAGGGTGAACAGTCCGCTCACTGGACTGCACAGGGTTTTTTCAGGACAATGGGCGCACTGGGCTAGATTTGTCTCTTACGTGAAATGCCTCTTTAATGTTTTCAAATTGTAATGTTCAATAGATATTTACAAAGCACTTACACACACTAGTTTTAAGGGCACACAAACATGTTTCAAGGGCTTTACAAAAATGTTAACTTGTTTAATCCTCGTAACTTTGTGAAGATAATGCTAACATTATCTCCATTTTACAAATGAGAAAACAAGAATTAAGATGGGCCCACGGTCACATGGCTAGAAAGTGATGTTGTGAATCAAAAATATATTTGAATTCATGGTTTGACATCCAGGGACAAAGACACTGCTTCTGAAGAGTGGTCCTGACTCCCCCATCAATACAGCCTTTATAAAGGGCAGCCTGCCTGTGGTCCTCCACTGTTATTTCTGAAAAGTATTTGCTCAAAGCAGTTTGCAAGTGAGCTTGAGCTGGTCCTACACCTGGGGTTACTCAGGCATTTCCACACACTCACGCTTATGAGAAACCTGGCTATAGAATCCACAAGAATAAGGTAAAACCACCGTCGTCCTATAGTGTCACTGACTCTAAGGGGTACGTTTTCTCACATTTTAATCTCCTTGAAATCCAGATGTGTTTATAACAGATGGAAATAAAGTGTCTAATTGATGCAGATTTTGTCTTTCTTAGCGGTCCATAAAATACATCTGTACTTATAGTTGATGGCATCTTAGATGTGATGAAACGTGGTATTCCAACAGCAGACAGCGTCCACAGCGACCACTTAGAAAACGCTGGCCAAGGAGGGGATGGCCAAGCTGGCATAGCCATTCACACAACTGGGCCTAGCACCCCAATTCTGAGGTCTTGTTTTCAAAATACTTTTTAAAATCGAAACACAAAGCTTTAGAGGTGAAAAAGGCCTTCAAGATCATTCAGATCAATGGTTTTCAAACTTTTTTCCTCACTCAAAATTCCCTGCCACACACACACCAATTTCCCTTAAATCCCAACATTTAAAACAGCTACTCAGAAACCCTGTCTGCCCCCCTCCCCACGAAGAGATTTCCTGAGGCACCTTTTGGGCTCCAGGCAATAACTTGAAAGCTTTTAACTTAGTCCAATGATTCCATCTGACAGATGAAAGAACTGGACCCAGAAATGTTCCGTATCATTCTGATTTAAAACAAGTTGATACGGGAGTTGACAATCAAGGCTCTCAGGTCTCAGGTTTTCTCTCCCTCCTTGACCAATGATTTCCATCAAAACACCTCCTTTCTTTCTCTGCCCAATGCCTCCAGTTCTGGAACAGGACAAACTAATAACCTAAGCTACACATCTCTTTCTTAAAAAAAGAAAACACACCCATTTTTAAAAAGGAAAACATACCATGGATTTTTTTCATCTAATCTGGCATGCTTTACACGTGGTCTATTCCCTTCTAAACACTGGTATCAGCATCTAGAACTTAGAATCGAAAAAGCCTCTAACTGCAGATGTGAAAAATACACTCGACTGTATACGCAGGGCAAAGGCAAGAGGTGGTTCACACGTGACTCCCACCCCAGCCTCCAGAGATACCTGTCACAGCGTTTTGTTTGGAGCCAGGTTTGGCGTGGATGGCGATGGTGACACAACCCTGAGGATCCACTGCCACGGGACCTGAGCGAGGACGGGGTCTCTCTGGCTCCTTGCTCTGGCTTTTACCCTAGAAGGAGACCGACAACCACACTTTACAACTCTGCAGGTCACAAAACGTTTCTCCCGCACGCTTGACTCGTCCCCTACTCCCTTTTCTTTCTTTCTTTCTTTCTTGTTTTTTCAATATGTATTTATTGATTTCAGGGAGAGGAAGGGAGAGGGAGAGAGAGAGAAACATCAATGATGAGAGTCACCCATCGGCTGCCTCCTGCACTCTCCCCACTGGGGATCGAGCCCGCAACCCGGGCCTGTGCCCTGACCGGGAATCGAACCCGATCGCCTGGATCCGAGGTCGACGCTCAACCGCTGAGCATCACCGGCCGGGCCCCTACCCCCTTTTCAACCTTACCCACCGCCAGCCAGGTTGACCGTCCCTGTCCGGGCATCCCGGCCACGTGGCGCGGTTTCCCAGCAGCCCTTCCACGGAGCCTTCCCATCAGCCCCCGCGCCGGCCTGGGGCGACCCGCCCCCTGCGGTTCCCTCTGAGCTTCCCGCCTGTGTTTGGAGCAGCAGCTTTAACACGTCCCCTG